GTGGAAGATTTACAAAACATATACGAATATTTATCACCGAATGATGCATGATTTTCTAATCGAGCTCATCAATGACCCTGAGTTACCTGCAGACAACTTGCTTGCGATACTTCACTGGAGCGAAAGGTATTATAAGAAAATGAAAAAGCTCGGCTGGAAGCAATCCGAGCTCCAACCGAACATCCTTGACGACCGTGAGCCTGAGCTTATCCGACAGTGGCAAAACATCATTATCAAAGCTGTGGAGGAATGGATGGATCGTATCACCGAAACAGACAGGAAAGGACTCGTCGAGCGCATTCCCGATTCCCTTGACACCAACGCAGAAGGATACTTCCGTACAAAGACCCTTCCAGATATGTGGCGTATGCTGCACGAACAGATTGTGGCTTCCGGTGCTTCCTCTCGAACCGATGTTGTTGAGGGCATCATTGATGCTATGTTCCGAGTGCTCAAGAGTCGCCAAACGAACTGGCAGATGCTTATTGACGAGGAATGTGGGAAATACAAGGCGGTGGGCGGCGACCAACTCGAAGGTCTCCAGCTATTGCAGGATTGGCTCATTGCCGTTGCCAACGACCAGATCGCCTGCATTGACGACAATGACGAATCGGGACAGCTGGGATACTTGAGCAAATTCAAGCGCGATTTCGAGCCATCCGTGGATCCGAAGTATATGGCCTCACGAGCCATACCTGAACTCGACGCTCTGCGGGACGGCTATGTGGACTTGAGTACATATTGTCTCACTCAGTTCGTCGAACTGGTCTTCGCTGTCGACTTCCGCACCACTATCCCAGACTTCTTCACCCAAAAATGGTATGGCGACTTTGCCATCAAGCGAATTACCTCAACTTTTGAGGACTACATGACAGATTACGCTGCCGTCCTCCATCCTTCCCTGACCGACATCTTGGTTGAAGAACTATCCGACGAACTTCTGATCCGATATCTATCATCGGTCCGCAACAAGGGTGTCAAGTTCAAGCGGCACGTCGATCCGTACACCGACAAATTCAAGGACGACGTCCTTACAGTCTTTGCTTTCTTCCAGAAATACCCCGACTCATTTGCTTCGATCAAGCAGAAGTGGCGGCTGGTCGATTGGCTTCTCCGTTTGCTCGAAGCAGAGAAAGGTCCGGCTCTGGTTGCAGTCTATGAGGACTTCAAAACGGAATACTGGGATCTACAGTTGTCTTGGGTTGAAGCAGTGCTGAGGACTAGGGATGATTTCGAGAGAAGCATGATCAGCGCCATTAAAACAAAGGCGGCGGAATTGTCAATAGAGAGGGGAACAGAGACGCTCATGAGCCGCGTGCGGTGATGTTGTTGGTTTGCCAGGCTAAGTTGAAGGCATTGAAGGTGTTTGCTCTTTTCCCATTCTATGGTGACACTGTGACTTGTCATCTGTCATTGGATCTCTCGGGGAGATATTCTACCAGCGAGGCGTTTTGGTGTCTTTCTTGTTCGAGGGAAATTACCTCAGGCACGGATCTCAACTGTCAGTACGACAGGAGATTCCTCTAATGAGCATGCCATGATTATAGTATATAAAGAGGCCATTCGAATGCTCTAGATTTTAACGCCGCCCTCAGCGCTCCCATCGCTGCTTCCGACGTCATTAGATTCTTGGTTATCCTGGTGGCAAGCTTTGCCCTTGGCGACCACTGTTGATTCTCCCGAAGGTGTGAAATCCAGGCTTCTCTCTGCCACAACTCGGTATTTCTCTCCCAAACGTGCATTCATCCCACTATCGTCAGGATCAAGCTTCTTTGCGCCCATCTCACATATACATATTGTCTCTAGTGGGAAATCCTTCGCCCAGACGAAAGGGAATGCGTCTATCCTCTTCATAGATGACATTTTCTGTTTCTTTCCCGGTGGTGAATTGCGCATCTCGCTGCCACTGCCATCTGTACTGCTGGCGACATTTGACCCAATTTCGGTACCAGCCTCGTTGTTAACGATTTGTTGCCTTTCTATTTCCGTGGGGTGAGAGGTCACTGTAATGGAAGTAGACCGTGGCGTTGTCCTTTGACTATCAAGGTAATAGTCTCTGTAGTGAGCAAGAATACCCCGTGCATCGAAGGTGTATTGACTGTTTCGGCGGCTTCCGCTGCTTTGAGGCCGTCCTCCTCGCCGTCGACCACGGACGTAGATAGTGTTCACCACCGTAGCATGAAGAAGAAGCGGTCGAATTTTGAGCTTAGGCTTCGTTTGCGTGGAGGTGACGACCGTGGTCGTGATGGGTTCGCGAGTTTGCGAATGTGCTTGTGCGAACTTGTCCGTCAAATCGACGGGCATTTCTTGGAGAAGGGCTGTATGATTCTCGATTGGTGTATCCGTATGGGTTTGATTGCCTTGATCTAGATTTCGCTCAGCTCGGGGTATTGTACTCGTTGCGTCTCCGGTTTCCATTTCTATGTCTTTGGCTGACTTCTGGGGCTCAGTTTCATCTGAGCCTGGCTTTTCCTTGATATGTTCGCCCTGCAAGTACCCTGCTTCTAAGAACTTGTTCCGCAGCAGCACGCAAAAGGGATAGAGGCGAGACGTGGAATCCACAGGAGCGGCATGTAGGACCGTAGCCGCGCGCCCCCTCGGAAGCGCATGTAAGGATTCGAGAGAAATCATCAACGGCTCGTAGGTGCCTTGTGGGACGATGGCGGAAGCAGAGTCACCTTCATGCTCTAGTCGTCTTGATGATTGAATTTCCTCACGCTCTCCCACTGCGCCTGTAAAGTTAGACTGATGTCGGGGCGACGAACTTCTTTTCCGGGACCGTCTTGATTTCTTAACAATCTCCTCTGCCTCATGCATAATGGACGCTAAATCGAGTGAGTGAAAGAACTCGATCGCTTCTTCCAGCTGCTCTTTCGTAGGAAGACTCATCACCCCGAGCGTTAGATGGAGAGTGCCGACGGGACGCACCGCGCCATCGGGGATGAGCGGCCGTTCAGAGCAAACTCGCTGTTGTACGGAGCCATTGTCATCTGAATGCGGAACCGACGGGATTGCAGCTTTGAATGTTGATAACGAAGATTCCAGCTGAGGTAGCGAGATGTCGTTCACCAGTGGAAGACACAGAAAGTGTGTCAGAGGAGGCCTCTTTTCCCTCTTAGGGAAAGTCTGTGGTGCTCCATTTCTCTTCTTCTCGGCCATGTTCCAGTGATAAAAACGGTGAAAAGGGCTTGTTGATGGTTGAAGCAGAGGCCTAAAAGGCCTGAGGGTTCTCATATGTGATAAGAGTTATGCCGCTCGAAGCTGTACAGTACTAAAGTGTCATATGGAAACTCGCCATAGCCAAAATATCCCACCCAAATGCGAAAAGATAGTGATAAATGATCAGATGCTACCACAATAAGTACGAATAGACATGGATCAGAGTCATCAGCTGCTTGAAGAACATGAGGATACGGAGGAAAGGAAGCTCAAGTAGAGCTATCCACAGCTAAGCTGCATCAAGGAAAGACTATGACATATGACGCGCATCTTCGTTTCTCCTCCGCATTTCATCCGTAACCTTCTCCATCCTCTCTTCTTCGGCACTCACGCTTCCCCTTTATAGCAAATTGAAGGTTAGCTGTATAGCTACAAAATTATTCAAAATGCTTTCGCGCATTTCTCGATCTGCTGTCTCCTCCGCCGCCCGTCCTTCACTCCATGTAGGCCGGATCACAGCAACGGCGCCCGCAGCCATCCATTTTCTACCCCGGTTGAACAGCGTCAGCAACTCCTCCCAAGCATCCCGTCGAGGGTTCCAATCCACCAGTTGCATCCGCAAGGGCATCTTCCCTGATTCCGCAGACCCTCCCGCCCCGAACCCGCAATCGAATAATGTCGCCGGCGCGTTCACCCATGTCACGGAACCCTCGCCATTGGATGACGCGCAGTATCATGAATTCGCGGAGCACTATCTCAACGTGATTCAGAATGAAGTGGAGAAGGCCCAGGAGGAGGGATCTGATATCGAGGCAGAGTATAGTGTGCGTATTGCGGACCTGTGTTCTAGATTTTTTCTTTTCCCTTTCCTCTCCGAGGCAACTCATGCCGCCCTGGTAATCTGCAAGATATCTTTGGCTAACTCGGTTCGATATACGACCTTTAACTCTAGGCTGGTGTAATGAATATCGCAGTTCCGGGTGTAGGAACCTATGTCCTGAACAAGCAGCCTCCCAACAAGCAGATCTGGCTCAGCTCGCCAATCTCCGGCCCTAAGCGGTACGACTGGGTCGTCGAGGGAGACCACATGCATGAGAAGCAGGATTCACGTCCCTTCGGCAATGGACAATGGATCTACCTCCGCGACGGATCCAATTTAACGGATCTGTTGAATGCGGAGCTGTCGTTGACCATCGCAAAGGATGTCTACAGCGAATTTGTGTAATAATTGTCGACTGGCCAAGAAGGAGTATGTGGATCAGGCGATGTTTAAGGTTACCATATTCTATGACGAAGAAGTTATGGTGTATGATATGGAGATCTTGTTCAACATTTCAGTTTCGTCCATGGGAACGATGTAAAAACCCGCATCAAGTGTATATTCACTTGCTGCGCAGATATACAATCATGAATCGAAAGTTCACCGGCATAACGATCTTCTTTTCTCCCAGAGCCAGATTTCTTCACGACCAAAACGCCCATATGTGTCATACTTGACGTGACCTAGGTCAACATTTATTATGACCAGGGTCGGATATAGCAGTGATGTCCCTTTGCCTCAAGGCAAAGCGTCCTGACACTGGCGAAGACACTGTAGTCAACAGTAGAGTCGCTCGCACTGTGCGCACATGCATTGCTTGGATACGTGAAACCAGAAAAAGCCACGAAGGCCCGACGGCTGCTGTTGTGGCAAGATTCCTATATCCCACATCAATGGACAAGAATTGTTACTCTGAGGGCAGTCGTTTCGGTTCGGTAAGTTGAGTAACTCGTGCAGCGTTTCAGGAATCGGCACGAGAGACCTTGTGTCCTCTTGATGATAACTACAGTCTCTAGCGGATTTACGCTTGCACGGAAACTGCACCTGGTGCCGGCTGATTATCATCCTTGGGAAGATCAGACTGCAAGTAGAAAACATTGTCAGCGACCCATATTCTGTGATCCTGAGGAAATTATGATTCTGTCGAGGCAGAAATTGGCGATGCATACCACTTCAAAGATAACCCGAATCATCAAGCTGCAACTAGGACAAACAGCAATATCTTCACCGTCGCGCAGGTCATCAATTGCGATTTCGAATCTGTCGCCACAGGGGCACGGGTAATGGTATATCTGGAGATTTGGGTCGAAGGTCATGTCTTCGATCTCGATTTCGTCGTAGATGGAAAGAGCTTCGTCGGCCATATTGAGCGATCGTATCTTCTCGTGTGCGCTGGCGAGTCAAATTATGATATCTCTATTGTAATGACAAAGTTCAAGGCAATCTATAACTTTATCACCAGAAAAGTTTTAGTGGGTCGATCATGTGACTGCATGGAGTCAGATAAGGGCCACAGGGACGACTCCGCAACTGACGCATCAACAAGTTTAAAAGAATGGCATTGTATTCTTCATGAGCAAGGGTATCTCCAAACAATGTAAAAGGGTTTCTAGACACTTAGTCTCTGAATCTCCAACTTCACCGCCTCGATCTCTTTTATGAGCGATCCGTACCGTCGGGCGATCTCTCGCATCGGGCCAGACTCAAAATGCTCTTTGTCGCTACGAGCAGATGGCTCGTGGGCCTCAGAGTCCACGCCTTCGTAGGCTTTCAGCTCCTCAAGAACCTTCCCTTGTTGCTCCTCCAGTCGTTCACGAGTCTCCCGGAGATGTTGGCGGTATCGGTCAAGGGCAGTAACAACCTCGGGAGTATAGAGTGTTGCTGCAGTGTCTAGTTTCATTATACTTTCGAAGTCATGAGTTTCAAGGGACCTCGGAGTAATCGTTTTGATCAAACATACCTTAACTTCGCTTCCACACCTTGCGCAACCAGAGCAAGATGTTCAGCCTTAGCCTTGGCAGCCCTGGATAGCGCGCCGTGCTTAACGCGCTCCAGCAACACAACCGTATGCTTCAGTATCTCAGCGCGTGATTCCAGGACGTTTGCCGCTGTTATCGCCATCCGTGCACGAGCAGCTGGTATTCGCGACAACTGTATCTGACGCAGGTTTTGTAGTCGCTCCCGGAGCTGTGATGCGAGAGGAGCCTGTGGTTTCGCCTTCGATTGGTTACGGCTTGTTCGAACTCGAGCTCGTGTAGGCAATGTAGACATTTGCGGTATCGCGGGTGCAGACGCCGCGCAATCTGGGCTCTTTCCGGTGTTCGCGATTGCTCGGAGATCTTCAAGGGCGGACGACAAGGCGTTCGAAAAAGGTATGACTAGTGCAGGAATGATGGAATAGAAGGCGTCCATATCCGAAGCTAGGAGGGATAGAGCATGAGAATGTGCGCTCTCGTGGTCGTCCTCATCCTCGAGGTCAAGCCGACTAGGGGACGATTCCAGGTAGAGGGTAATCACGGCGAGAGGGTCGCGATACTGTCCAAACAGACTTTTAGTAAAGTAACGCATATTTCGACTCAGATAAGTTTATCCTGACATCATCCGGCAGCCCACTGTCAGCGTCAAAAGCCAGCTGCTGTAGCGTCTGTTGCTTGATCTTTTTGCTTGCGCTTCGCACTCGACATCTTCTCAGTTCCTAGAAGCAGTAAAACCACGGGTCAAATCTGCATTGTATTCGATTCTTGCACGGCCAGATTCATCCACGCTGCCAATGCTCAAGTCAAGTGGCGCCTTGAACGTACTTCCAGTACTTCTTTTCTGGCTGGCTGCTCATCACTGGCCCGTGTCGAGCCATCGGCATTGAGTAAATTGGTAGTCAAATGCTGATAGAGTTTTCCGAATTGGGGATTATTTTCAAGGATAACCGGGTCGCAGGGTGGTATCATTTTGGGAACTGGCTTGGAGTTGGAAGTTCCCAAGATGTGTAAACAAAGCTGCAAAATCACCTATCTTTCCGTGCTCCCGCGTTACCGCCAGGTCGACCCGTGACTGCGGATGTGTCTACAACTACAAGGCACAGACTACAGCTAGGTACAAGTAAAAAACCAGATCAAGAAAGGTCGGATTTCGAGGCTTCTGCGCTTTCATTTTCACATTTCTTTCGTAATCATACATGTATCTGCTGCGCCATAATCTTTTCCCAACGTATCCGGGCGGCGTCCTGCCAGCCCCAAGCACTCTGAGTACTCACAATAGACGAGTACGCTCGTGCCTTGGTCCCAAGTTTCCTCACTCAAAGCTCTATGGCCGACTTAGGAATTTTGGAAGTGTGCGAGGTGACACATTGTTCCCTCAACCAAGAACCACAAGTACGAGCACGAGAGCTATGAAGTGGTATCATAGAAACAAGGTAATGGGTAGAAGAAACTGCCATGCTGCTGACCTTCAAAATAATTCAAGCCATCCGCAACGTGAGCTGATCCTAAATTGTGGATTTCGCTCCCTGGACCTGCGCAGACTCGCCCGATAGAATAGTAAAAGGCAAAGAAAAAGAGGGGGGGGGAAAACACGCAAGGTTCGAAACCGGAAGACGAGAGTAAGAGGTTTATGTACAGAGAGTCCAGAACTTGATGTCAAGGCCAGACTGTCTTCCAAGACAAAACGAGTCGCTAAAAGGGCATAATAGAATCTCAAAAGTCATGCGTTGATTCAGGGAAAAATGCTGACGAGTAACTAGTCATGGAGTGCCACAGGAGGGCGTCATGAAGTTCACGCGCGTTGGAGCTGACAAAGGGCCTACTCTTCCTCGCTTTCTTCAGAATCATCCTCTGAATCGTCGCTACTTTCATTCGCTTCCACAGACGGGAGAGGATCGGGAGAACGGCCGCCACCGCCCTGGAAGCGAGAGAGGTTGCTCTCGAGCATGTTAATCTGAGCCTCCTGCTCATACTTGCTCATAGGCTTATTCTTCTTTGGCTTTGGAGCAGCCATATTTGCTGCAGTAGAAGCGGTTATATCTTCCTCCTCTATGACATGCGGAGCGTTCTTCTTGACGAACTTCAGCAACATCAATAGAACCTCATTAGGGAGCTCATCGATGTCAAGTTCGATCTCGGTCTCTTGTGTACCCTGAAATGAAACATTAGCACATACGTTTGAGACGAAGGTAGAAGTTGAAACTCACTTTCAAAGCTGGAACGTTACTTTGGATAATCTTGAGGGCTTCCTGCATCTTCTTGTCAGGAAGACTACTTATTCCGTTCGAGATTATCTGCTTTTCGTGATAAGTGACGTAGCGCTGCTTTTCCGGCTTAGATGACTTGGAGGAAGTTTTCTTGTCCTTCTTGCCCAAGGGGATAGTTCCGCTCTTCTTCGAATCCTTCTTTCCGGACTTAGACTTGCTAGGTTTTTTCGAACCAGGTGGAGTCTTCTTTTTCTTCTGTGTAATCGCCTCCACTTGACGTGACATTTCAGCAATTTGTTTCTGCAGCATGGTTAACTTCTCGTTGTCGTAGTCGCTCTCGTCTTCCTCTTCTTCGCTTTCTTCGGAGGAAGAGCTAACGCTCTGGTGTTCTGGGTGGGGTTCATGAGCCTCTAGATAACGCGTCTTCTGAGCCCACTTGTTTTCGAATATCTCCTGGAATCTTTGTCCGGCCATGTAGGTAGGATCTCCTGGAATGTTGAACTTGAAGCAGTTCTTGAATATTTGACGCATGTCAACCTCAAATTCCTTGGCATTCTCGTACTGGCCAGTCTTGAGTTTGGACTGGACAGTGGAAAGATCCATTGGCTTCTTGATAATGCTGTGATAAGTCGGAATGTTCAGTGCAACCGGGTCCACAGGGAAGTAGAAGGGGGCAGCCCAGTTGTAGTGCTTGGGTTTGTGGAGCTCATCCAAGACTTCCTGACAGAATCGCAGTTCCCACTGGTACTTCTTCTTCTTGGGCTTGGTGGAATAAGGCAAATCCCGTTTGGGTGGATGAATCGAGCGCTTGGGACGGCCATCAGTATTGGTAGAGTCACGACGGATCAAAGGTAGGCCTTCTGGTCCAAGAGCAAAAGTCGTGGCCTGAGGGGAAGTGGCGGCCGGGCGAGCTGTAGACGTCCCAATGCTAGTGCGCGGTTCCCGATGTGCCGCTGAAGTTTTGGTGGAGACTTTTTTCGGCTTCTTCTCTTCAACCTCATCAGCCTTGGGTAGGTTCATCATTTGCTTCTCGAATGTGCCTTTGAGCTTCAATCCCTCTTGTGACACCACGTGGTCGGGTCCATTAAAAGCAACTGCATTTTGCACCATCAAATTAAAATCGTCCACGACGGCCTGAGCAGTCTTGTACTCATTATTCTTCAATTTACGCTCGATTGTTCCAAGATCCATAGGATGCTTGATAATCTGCGGATAATGGGGAATGTTCATCTTGACCGGGTCAACAGGTTCGCGGTAGAAGCGAGCATCATTCATGCGCTTCAAACTCTGAATACCTTTGAGGACGAATTTATGTTGGACCTTAGTCATGGTCGCCTCCCCATTCACAGTGGTGCGGGCACGTGCTTCGGTCACGGGTGTTGGCAGATCAGGAAGCTTGACCTCGGCTGAGCCTTCATCTTCCAGCTTGGTACGTTTGGCAGCGGGCTCATCATCGCCGTCTGCATCGCGCTCCCGAGATACCTTCGTCGGAGACATCGGAACATCTGGCGCGTCAGGCATGTCTTGGTCGATAGTCTGCAGACTCGGTGCAGTTGGCGCCTGACTCGTAGCGTCATCACCGGGCATGGTGTCCAGCTTCCCACTAATAGAAGGATGATGAGGCAGCTCGGACTTCACGCCAGCATCCTGTCGATTATTCTCCACCTTGGCATCGGATGACAAATCAGTCGGTGGCTTTGATACATCTTGCGATGCCTCCGTGTCTTGCGGTGAGGCCTGGTTTTTACCAACAGCTGAGCCCGTCTCCTGCATCACAGGCGTATTAGGAATAGAGTTGTCCCCGTTTGGCTCTTTGTTTGGTCCATCCGCAGGCGTTGAAGTAAGGAGTTTCTCTTCTTCCTTCTCCGTTGGTGTCGTTGTCGATGGTGCAGGGACGTCCGCAGGTGGTTGAGTAGGTGACTTTGGGGGCGACACAGTGGAGCCGGCGCCATTCGTCAACGATGGCTGTTCAGCACCGTGGCCATTCACCGCCGCGGTCTTGTCATTTTCCTCGTTCGTACCATTAGTCGGCGCTGCTTCCCTCACATGATTCTGCGAGCTACTTCTAGGAAATTAGCGAGCTCGTCGATATATCAACGTGGTGGATAACTCAGAATTGTTAAACGTACCTTGTGCGACCAATATCAACAGATGAGGCACCATTTGGCGACGGCGGCAGTT